TAGCAGCAGAACTGGTATGCACGTGCATATGTCGAATCTTGTTACATTTCTTGACCGTCATCTGATGTAAAACCGAACAACATAAACTGGATATTTTCTACGTATTTTGGAAAACACGAACCTTGCTTGACGGATACTTAGGTTTTCGGTAATGAACGCTGTCATTACATATTTATTAAGACCCACTACATGATAGCACATTTTTGGCATGTTTCCGATGTACCAAAAAAAGACTGGCTCTGCACGGGTAAATTTTGCTGCGTAAGTGACTCTTCATCAACCGTTCCGATCCAAAATGTCACCTTTGCTAGGACCCACGGAATATAGAGTTATTCCAGGTGCATGTGCGGGTGAAATTTTGGCTCGACACCTTCGAGGAAACGTTCTTTACTCAACGAAATTAATCCGTGCCGAATCTTTCTTTGTTAGGACACACACTTTTTTATCCCAACGTGCAAATTTTTTTGTCTTGTAAATGACCGTTTACATGTTGTCTGAGCAAATGTTTAGACCGATAAGCCGGTACTGAACAGATGTAATTGCTTGCCATGGCTCACACAAGCCGTCATGTGATATGAAGGATTTATACAATATAGATCTAAAAAATTACAATGCAGTAATGCATGTATTACATGTGTAGTTGTTACAGTGTACATGCTAATGGCACACGTGATACTTGCTTTAAAAAGGTACGATAATTAAGGTGTAGTTATTTGCACACTAATATTTCACAACGCTAGTGTTGCTTAATTGCTGGCTTGTGAGTAAGTGAGTGGTGCATGCAGTTTCATTCCGTTCTCTTTTCTGTTTGGATCTTCTCAAATAAAAAAGGTAAGTTGATTGCAATTGAATCGCAAAACAAGGAACCAAATAGCTTGACCTGAACATAAGATCGAACGATGTGCATGATTTGCTATTTTGGTGCTAGCGCAAGCAATTACGTTTAAGCGAACTGTTCTTTTTCTTTCTTTTTTTGTTTTTGTTTTTGTTTTTTGTAGAGGATGCAGCCGTACTGGTTATTAAACAAAAATAACACTAACAGTGTTTTATTTACTCCATCAAATGTTAAATATGTTTAGTACGAGTGATGCCTTTTTCGTACTTAATTCTTAAGAATATAAGGTGAAGAAATTTCTGTCTTTGTGTTTGGCTGTTTAAATGAGCTCGGTCGCGATAGGGGGTACTTTAAGCTGAGCTTAGCAAAAACTAAAGAGAAAGGGAAAAAAAAACAACAACAACAAACAAACAAAAGGGTTAATGAGCATAAGGGTTGGCTATGCACGTTCGTTATAACACTCAAAACATTTCTTAGCCGTCCTCTGCAAAAATAGAAACAAATAAACAAAACAAGCAAGACAACAACAACGTGAAATGACCAAGTTCGTACGTCTGAGGGTAATAAAGTTCACTTTGAACTATAGAGTTGACCGTTTGATAAAAAAAGCAATGCTTTCGACTGATGTCTTACTAGTCTTTCCTTTTTTCTAAGGCACTACAAACTAACTTTTAGAACTGAAACGATGTGCTGGTTGTCGCTTTCCGCCCAAAGGACTTTGCTATTTCTACTTGTATGTGCGATGTTTGTAAAAGGTAGAATTTAATTTCCGTTTTTCTGTCGATTTATATCTTCTCGTTCTTACTATTCAGTCTTGATTTGATTTTCTGCTCTCGATCGTTCTTTATGTTTTCATACTTCATACTTTCATACAGATGCAAGTTTTGCAACATGCTTCTTCAGAGTTGAAGTTCTGGAGGGCACCATTCTTTTTCCTCGCTCCGGAGCTAACACTAACTGCAGCTGGCTGTTAGCAGTGCTGCATAACCACGCTGTTTTGTTGACATTTGCCACATTTCAGTTGTATTACAAGGCCCATGATGTACTGGACATGGCAACAACAACTCAGCTAAAAGTCTGGGATGGCGAAGATAATCATGCTATCTTTATAGGAAGTTTTCGTGGTACAAAACGTCCTTTTTCCTTGCAATCAAGTGGCCGCTATCTTTTTCTTCGTCTTACTGTGGAGTCAGATTCTCCCCTTTGTAACTTTAAAGGATCCTACGTTGCTATGACTACCAAAGGTATAACACAAGGGGTCCCCTCTCCCGGTCCCAGCAGAAAAAAACAGACCCGTCTGAATAGGGTTATTTTCTTTTAACCCAGTATAATGTAGGACAAAATTCGATGAGATCATCTGAGTCACGCAGGAAATACATTACTATGATAAATTACGTCTAGATGGTTTTAGTGTTCTGATTCACAAAAACATATTATTTTATATCCTCTAATAAAGCTCTAACTTCGTCTATTCATCTAAGAAGAAACTTTCAAAATTGTTATATAGCTGGTTTTCATATGACGTCACT